GAAATTACAACTGATGCCACAGAAATACGAAAGATCATAAAAGACTACTATGAACCATGATATGCTAACAAATTAGAAAATCTAAAAAAAAATGGATAAATTCCTGGAAACATATAACCTTCCAATACTGACTCACAAAGAAATAGAAAATAGACTGATTACAAGTAATAAAATTGAATCAGGAATTTAAAAACTCCCCCAAACAATAATCCAGAACCAGATGGCTTCATAGGTGAATTCTACCAAACATTTAAAAAAGAGTTGGTACATATCCTTCTCAAATTATTCCAAAAAATTAAAGAGGAGGGAATGCTTCCAAATCATTTTTCAAGGCAAGTATTACCCTGATACCAAAACCAAAGACAACACACAGAAAAGAAAATTACAGGCCAATATCCTTGATGGCCATAGATGCAAAAATCCTCAAAAAATATTAGCAAACTGAATTCAATAATGCATCAAAAGATCATAAACCATGATCAAGTGGGATTTATTCCAGAGATGCAAGGATGGTTCAGCATCTACACATATGTGATATGCCACATTAAGGAAACAAAGGATAAAAATCATATGATCATCTCAATAGATGCAGAAAAAACATTTGACAAAATTCAACATCCTTTTATGATTACAAACTCTCCAAAAAAGGGGATAGAGAAGAAATGTACCTCAACATAATAAAGGCCACTTACATGTGAAATTTATTTATTTATTTTTATTTTATTTTATTTTATTATTATTTTTTTAAAGATTTTTTATTTATTTGACAGAGAGAGATACAGCAAGAGAGGGAACACAAGCAGCGGGAGTGGGAGAGGGAGAAGCAGGCTTCCTGCCGAGCAGGGAGCCCGATGTGGGGCTCGATCCCAGGACCCTGGGACCATGACCTGAGCCGAAGGCAGACGCTTAACGACTGAGCCACCCAGGCGCCCCTACATGTGAAATTTAAAAAACAAAGCAAACAAAACCGAAACAGACTCAAAGATACAGGAAACAAACTGCTGGTTACCAGAGTGGGAAGGGGGTGGGGAGTAGGCAAAACAGGTGAAGGGATGAAGAGGTACAAACTTCCAGTTATAAAATAAGTAAGTCATGGGGGTGTAATTTACAGCCTAAAGAATATACTCAATAATATTGTAATAACTTTGTATGGTGACTGATGGTAGCTAGACTTATTGTGGGGATCGTTTCATAAAGTATAAAAATATCAAATCACTATAACATACATCTGAAACTAATAGGATATTGTATGTTAATTAGACTTCAATTAAAACAAGGAGAAAAAAGAGAGGAGTCAGTAACGACTCTGTGCTTGCCATTTGGTTGCCTGGTAAAATGCAGATAAAAATGGCATTAGGAGTTGCCAGTTAGAAGGAAAGATTATGAATTCAGTTTTTTTTTTTAAAGATTTTATTTATTTACTTGAGAGAGAGAGAATGAGAGAAAGCCAGGGGGAGGGGCAGAGGGAAAGGCAGAAGCAGACTCCCCGCTGAGCAGGGAGCCTGACATGGGGCTCAATCCCAGGACCCTGGGATCATGACCTGAGCCAAAGGCAGACGCTTAACTGACTGAGCCACTCAGGTGCCCTGCGAATTCACTTTTTGATCAGAAAGATAGAGCTGGGGGGGCCCTGTGCACCACTGACTCCAAACCCTCCTTTCATAGGTAAAGGAAATGGGGCCAAGCACATTAATCAGGACAGGAACCTAGGTCACCTGCCCCCCCCACCCCTTTGCAGGTTTGCCTCTCTCCCTCACTGTACTGAATTGAATAGTGTCCATCCTAAATTCATGTCTGCTGAGAACCTGAGAATGTGACTTTATTTGGAAATAGGGTCTTTGCCAGATATAATCAAGTTAAGATGATGTCATACTGGCATAGTATGAGCCCCTAATTCAGTATGACGGGAAAATCTGGACAGTAGACATGGAGACACACAGGGAGAACGCTAGGTGAGAGTGGAGGCAGAGATGGGAGTGATACATCTACAAGCCAAAGAACGTCAAGCACAGCCAGGAGCCACCAGAAGCTAGGAAGAGACTAGGAGGGATCCTCGAGTAGAGGCTCTGGAGGGAGCGTGGCTTTGCCAACATCTTGATTTGGGACTTGTCACCTCCAGAACCATGGGAGAGTATAGTTCTGTTATTTTAGGCCACCCAGTGTGTGGTATTCAATTATGGCAGCCCTGGGACGGGGATGCGCCTTCTGAGCTTTCGGTTCAGGTGGAGTATTCAGATGGCACTGTCTGTGAGGTACAAGAAAACGTGGGGCTCGAGTGCGGAGCAACGGTCAAATTAAAACAGAGCCAGGGCTGGTGATGGGAATGTGGGGACGGAAGAAAGGAGCAAAGGAAGGAAAAGAAAGGAGCTCCGAGGACAGGGTGAGGAGGGACGAGGTAGAGGAGGCAGAGGGCACTGCCGGAAGTGCAAGAAGAGACAGGAAGCGAGGAATTCCAGAAGAGGCAGAGGTCAAGAGGTCAGGACTGGACTGGGCTGATTTGGCACTGAGGTCCTTGGTGACCTTTCCCAGAGCTCCTTTAGAAAAGCACAGGGGTTAGAAACTGGCATGCAGAGGCTTCAGGAGTGAGTGCATTGTGAGTACAGAAAGATAAAGGGAGATTACTCTTTCAGGGACTTCAGGATGGAGGGAGAAACAGGGCAACAGCTTAAGGCGTGGAGCAGGGAAGAGGGATTTTTTTAAGCCGTGGAGAATCGAGTGTATTTGTGGAAAAAGGTGAGGAGAGGGAAAAATGACAGGTGTGAGCAGTTGTGGTGGGTGGCTACCGGATGGCCCCAGGTCCACCCATGCAAACACAGAGACGTGGCGCCTCTCACCCAGAATTTAGCTAATGCTTTGCCTCCACTGGAGCTTTAGTGCTCCTCTGCCACACCCCTGTCCAATTCTGGAGCCTTGAGCCGTTCACTAGGGGATGGGCTCTTGAGTGGAGGGGGCATGGCAGCAGCGCAGGGACAATGTGGCCCCCGATGTGGGGAGGAGGCAGCTGACATCATTGAGTCTCATCAGTGAAAGTACATGGGGCAGCTGGTAAGGCGGACGGCACAGGCGTCCACAGAACAGGAGTCAGGGGACTGTCCCCCAGCAGGGGTTCCCAGCCACATCACATGGACGATTACCAGTGGACTCAAGCAGTAGAGTCTGCAGACGTGTGAGCAGGTCAACACTCCACTCCCAATCTGCTGATTAAACCCTCAGGTCTGACCCTTGCCCATCACCATCGTTTGAAAAGACAGTAAAGTGAATCAGCTCCGTGTTCTCCGGGCCTGACGGCTCACACCCACTACTTCCTTATTTGACATGGGGATCTGGAGTAAGATTAGCTTTTGCCTTCATTTCTTCTTCTGTCTGTTTTATGGAGAGATTCATTCCAAAGTATGAATCACAGAGCTTTTAGGAAACACAGTGCTGTCCTTGGGAAAGTGAGAGATTCTGGGAATACACGGCCAGATATATAAATGGGAGGGATCCTGCACATCTAGAGGACCTCCCAGCCCTCCCAACAGATAAACCTGGCTTAAAATTAATGGCTATGTGGATGAGTGCACCTTGAGAAAAACAAAGACAAAATGCCCCCCAGCCCCCACACCCTGGTACCACATCACATGGTTTTGTTCTAGGAGACATCATACCAGCTGCAGTTGCTCCAAGGCACAGAGCCTCCTCTCTGGCAGACAAGTGTGTCCCTGGTGGGCGCCACGGCATTGGCTGAAATCTGGGTAGGGTGTTAATATGTCTCTGTGTTGCATAGGTGGGCAGGTGGGTGCCAGGGTTGGAGCAATTATTGTGGAAAGAAAACAAGTAAGATTTTGGAGAAAGTCTGGACCGTTAACTCCTTTCCATTTTCTTTCCTCTCAATACTCCCAAATTATATATCCTTCACCACGAGATTTTTATTTTATCTTTTTCTGTGTTTCATTCACCATGTGTTAAGCATGAATGCCTACCAACAGATGAGGAAGCATGCCAACCAATGGGCAAGAGCCACATAGCTAGTAAATGGTGGAACCAGGGTTTGAACAGGTCCATGACTCCAAGTCGAGTGCTCTTCACCCTCTACCCTCCGTAACCTCCCCCCTCCATCCCCGCTTTTGAAATGGAGGCTGGCTCCCAGATAGGCTAGGGCAGTATGATGACATCTTCAAAACTTCAACATTTAGGAACTTTACATAAGACCCCAGTGGAACCAGACAAGTCATTCTGAGTCTCCAGGTCCACCCTACAGGACAGGATCACTGCTCTGCTCCTGGTTCCCTATGCTCTCCCTCTTTGTTGACAGTGTGGCCAAAGCACTAGGTGATGGTACCTGGGATGTCAACTCCCTCCAAACAGGCCTTGCACAGAGGTCTAGGACCAGGGCTGGTGGCTGTATTCTGATACCCAGGAATGGCTCCTTCATTTTTATGCCCTCTTGCTACTATACACAATATTTTTAGAGCTGAAACCTAGGCTGGGCCTCCAGGAATAACTCTCAGATCCACATTGCCAAACTGGCCTTCCAAGGGATCCTCTGCCATGTCTTGAAAGGTGAGGAAGGCCACCTACTGAAGCTATGGTGCAGGGATCAGAAGGCTGCTACCATTCCTGCTGCCATTCCTACTGCCACATTGCTTCTTGACATCCATGAATCTGGTGACCAGACCCTGCAGAGCTGTTGCAATAGGAAAGCCATTGCCCACCCCAACTGCTCCTTACCCAAGTGTCTATGGCTTTGCTAGGCAGCAGAAAACATCAAAGCAGCAGGAAGGTGACCTCCGTCTCCTTACTGTCTCCCAGATCTCTCCAGTTCATCCAACTGGCAGAATATAATTCACGTCTAGACTAGCTGCAAGGATCTGATAAATGTGGTTTACAAATTTCTGGCCACTGCAGTACAAGAAAGAGTTTAAGATGGATGCTGAGTGCCAACCTACCATATCTACCTTATAGGATAAGAAAAAATACTGAATGCTTATAATAAATATTCCAAAGATTTTCTAAATGGCTCTAGCTTAACATTTATTTAATGAAATTTTAAAAAGTCTGATGTCTCTGAAGATTATGGGCCTGGTCACATATGCCAGGAGTCCCCTTAATCATCCAGAGGGTGGCTTCTCTTCAGCGATATCACCATTGCAAAGTTCAGAAGGCTTCTCATCCATTAGGTGATTATATCCTAAAAAAGAATTAAGTTATAGAAATAATACATGTATTATTTCGGTCTGAAAAATATAGTAAAAATACCTTTAATCCTACATCACTATCACAGTGACCACTTCCCTCTTCCTGCGGCATTAATATTTACATCTTTGTAAATGTCATAGAGTTTTGTGTTGTTTCTTCACCCAACATTGTATCATAATCATTTCTCATCTTATTGCATAACATAACCACAATTTTTAATGGCCCCATAATAGTTCGCTAATATACATGTCATCATTTACTCAGCCATTACCTTCTAGTCGAACATTTTAGTTGTTTCCAATTATTTAGTACTATAAATAGTGCTTTGAAGAGGAGCTTACGCATATGTAGACTTTCGTGGCACATTTCCAGAAGTGGAACAACTGGTTAATAATATGTACTGGTTAAAAGGTATCCATTTTTAAATGAGTATCAGTGGCTTTCGATCAATGTTTCTTAAAAATCACCTACGGTAAAAGCAGGGAAAATTTTCTCTGCCAACACTAAACAGAGCTTGCCTCTACCTGTGACATCCTTATCACTTGCCTTGGGAGCTACTCTTGGCAGCTACCAAAAATGGGGAATTGGTGCCCTCGGCCTGGAAGGCCTTGATCAACAATGCTCACATCACTGTATCTCAAATCCCTGAGAGGTGCCTGGGTTGCTGTGACCTGATCCTTGGAACCAGGGTGAGGGTAGAGTGGGTGCAGCATCTTCAGGATCTCCCCCACCCTTTCATATCTCAAGGCCCAGCTCTCCTGACCAGAAGGCTTCCCTGGATAAGGTGTCTGGTATCTCAGAAGTGTCACGTCTTGAGCCCCAGAACATGCACATTTGTGCAGATGCCACGCTTTCACAGAGACTTCCATAGACAGACAGGTCATTCCCCTACTTTCTGATTGCTCCTTCTTCCCGGAGATAGAGCAAGACAATATTGTTGAGGCTGAAATAAAGCTGCCTGGGTTACACTTAAAGAAGTCAGTTTGGGATGAGTTTAAGAACCAGGAGACCAGAGTCTTAAAAGGAAGGTAGATGCAATGCTGCAAGATTTTACTCGGAACCACTTGGCACCTGACTGAGACATCAGCCTGTAAGGACCTCCCAGGCATATCAGTCCTGAGAAAAATGTGCTGAAGGTGCCTCAGAAAGGCTCCATTCTGATGACTACTCACGTCTTGATCAGGCCGGGGGCAGGGTGGTTTTAAGCCTCTTTGTGAAAATAAGAAGAGGAACAGATTTAGCTCTATGTGCTTCCAGTGAGGGGAAAAAATTTCAACCAAATGAGTGTTCTCCCCAACCAAGCCGTCTAGCACAGGACCTTGACTCTGTCTCCTCCACGGTATATGCCCTGTGCTGCACAAAAGGTGATGCACCACTGATATCGCGCAGTGTCTCCAATTCTAGAACTCCACTCCACCCCCACGTGCGCCCTCACCCACTATCCGGCTATCATAACTGCTCCATAAATGGCATTCGCAGCAACTGTCCCCTCTCCAGGCCTTAGGAATGCCAACACTTGCTGAGCAGCACTGTTTGCAAAACCCCGGTCTCTGGGAAAGGATTATCCGTTGTCCCTGATCTCCCTCCACCCCTGGCCATGTCCCCGCTGCGGGCCCGGACGACCCTCTCCAGTGACCACCAGACCCCCCACTCCGCCCAGCCTGCCCCATGCGCGCCAGCAGCAGCCTGGAGCTAGTACAACTTCCCGGGACACCCCAACGTCTCCTCTCGCCCCCGTCCGGTTGCTTGGAAATTTGCACTGGACAGTGACGTCACACAGGAAGGCGGGACCCCAGTGTCCCGCACACCAATGGTGGGGCCGCGGCGGGCCTCTTCTTTTCCAGCGATTGGTGTCTCGGGCCCCTTTGCTCCACCCCAGCCCGCCATGGCGTCAGGCGCCGCAAAACCGGGGAGGTGGTTCCCACTTTAAGAAGTGAAGTTTTTCGCCCCCTCCCCCTCCCTGCCCACCTCCTGCAGCCTCCCGCGCCCCGCGGAGCTGGCGGATGGAGCTGCGCTGCGGCGGCGTAGGGAGCCAGGCTGTGGGGCGCAGGATGGATGGGGACAGCCGAGATGGCGGCGGCGGCTGCAAGGACGCCGGGTCGGAGGACTATGAGAACCTGCCGACCAGCGCCTCTTTATCCACCCACATGACAGCCGGAGCGATGGCCGGGATCCTGGAGCACTCGGTCATGTACCCGGTAGACTCAGTGAAGGTGAGGCGCGAGGAGACTTTGGGGACGGAGCGAGCGGACAGGAGAGTGCGCGCGCGTGCGTTTGCATCCCGCGCAAGAGCAGCCTGCGGGAGCGCCCCGAAACCACCTCTCCTCCCGGCTGCGGCGGGCGTGGGGCGCGGCACCCCCGCTCTCGCCGCGAGCGCGCCGAGCCGCTCCTTCCGCCGCGCGCCTGGGCCCCGGGGGCGCCCCTAGCCCACGAGGGTGCTCCGACCGGCGCCACGCACCGCCGCTCCCACAGCCTTCCCCACCCGGGCTGCTGGGGGCGCTGCGGCGGGGGAGAAGAATTGGCGAGCGCCCCCGGTCTCGGCGGTGGCGGCGGGGTGCCCGAGGGAGGGCGATCGGTGCCGCTTTGCACAGTCTTACCACGTCTGCCCACGCGATCCGAGGGCTTTGGGGTTCCAGCTCTTCGCGGCTCCCGCTGGCGCGCCCAGTGTCCGAGCCGCGGCGAGAGGCGTCCTCCGGTCCGTGCACGGTGGCCACGGCTGCCCACACGTGCGCAGTTTCCGAGGGAGCTGGCGGCCGGGAAGCGCTAACCACGCTAGCGCCGGGAAACGTGGCCCCTGCTCGGCCGTGCGCGCTCCGGCCCGGGTGTGTGGCTTCGGCTCCCAGGGTCTCTGGGGAGGCGTAGGAGTGGCAGGCGTTCTCTTGGTTCTTGGCAGCTCTCTTGGGAATACCGGTTCAGCGACGCCCTACGTGATCCCCTTTTCTCAGGGTTTCTGCACCTCTTCCCCCAGAAGTTCGGGCGGCTGAGCAGCCTAGAGGCAGTGAGCCCTGCAGTGACATTTGCCTTCTCTTTTTGTTGCAGGGAGGAGGGCAGGCAAGGAGAGCATGTGCTATACAACTCTTACTGTGGGTTGTGTAATAGGCACTCGGTTTGCCTGTTACTTCCCCAGGTAGTTTTACGTGCATTTCTGCAAAGAGGCAGCGTCAGCCAGGCGGATTTTTCCTGTTAGCCTGAGAGCTGCCTTCTGTCCGCCTGTTCAGGAAGGTAATGCTGGTATTGACATCTTGCACTTCTGTAGGCATAACTCGTCGAATTCATCCAGCAACCCGGGGATTAACAGATGAAGAAACTGAGGCAAAGAGCTATGAACTGATTCACCTGCCTGGGCTCATACTCCACCTGTTTCCTCTGACTGCAGCCCAAGAGTGCTTTCTGAGATTTGGGACCTCTCTGGGTGGCAGTTATCTTGAAAGGCAGGGCCCACCGAGCTCCCCCACTGGCAGCTGTAGCTTGTTGCTGATCCTGGCCCCACTTGCAAGGAGTGAAGACCAGAATGTCTAAGTCAGGGTTTTCCCTGCCCTGGGCAGCTGTCTGGGAGCTGGCAGTCAGCGGACAGACAGGAGTCCAGTGAGAGAAAGCATGGGCATTTGCAGTAAGGTGAGGCCCAAGCCTTTGATGTTGCTGCTGGGCCTGAGGTATCACCTCTTCAGACCCTCCAGCATCCCCAGGGGGGAATTAAGGGAACGGCCCTTGCTGCCAGGGTTATGGAGGGCATGGGGGAGATTTTGCCTCGTAGGTTTTCACAGCTTCTCCAGGAAAGACCCTGGACAGATACCAGGTGGCATATGTATAGGAAGGAATCCGTCACATGTAATACAATTTCCCGTATTCGAAGCTGTTGTCTCCAGTGCCTTGGACAGAGTATGGGGAAAGTTAGGGGCAGGGAGATGTTATTCGAGCAGGCACTGGACCCACAGGGTGGCAGAGATGAACGTTCCATTGAGGAACTATGCCACATGTGAGGTTTTGCTGAGTGTGGTTCAGAGCATCACTACAGCTTATCTTTAGGATTAGATGCAATTAGTCATGCCTTTTCAACTCCCTATGTCAGTCTAAAGAGGCATTCGTCTTATATGTTTAAATTGTGTGTTCTGTGTTTAGTTTCTTCCCTGCCGCTCCTTCTGCCCCGTAGACGTCGTATGTTTTAATCCAGATGTCACTGTGTACTTAGTATTACTTTACATAGCAGTTTTCACCTGCGGATAGGTAACAGGGCTGTCCCAGACAAGTCACTCACCTTATGGGGCTTGACTGTAAAATGAAGGCCCTGGTTACTAGTAAGGGCTTCTTCTGTCTTTAAGCATGCAGGCTTGGTTTTAAAGCACCTCGTTTTTCACCACAACTTTCTCAGACGAGGGTAGCAAGGATTCTTCTTTTCATTTTTCAGCTGAGACAAAAGGCACAGAGAGAGTGTTAAGTGGTGTAAGCCCCGTTGCATGATCCCAGGGAGGCTTCAGCCGAGTGCCAAGGTCTGCCAACATCAGCACAGTTGTCTGTGCCCAGCGTGACATATCAGGGACGCATCCATGCTTCAGTCATGGAAATGCTTCACTTGGGGAAACCTCGACTGTGTTCTTCTTAAATATTTTGGGTGATGGAGACCGTGAGTAAAGGAGTCTGGAGCCCTGGGTTGGGTTTCCAGCCCTGCCCCTAACTTGCTTCATGCCTCAGGCACTGTTCTGTGCCTTGGTGTTGTGTCTGTAAAGTGGGGGCTACGGCCCAGTTCAGTATTTCTCCCCATTCTTAACTTGTCCCCCTTTCTACTTACACAGAACACCCATTGTCCTCTTTTATGATACTTGAAATTCCAAAGAATTATTGCAGTCGAAGCCATGTCAATGTAAATTGTATGCTGGAAAAATTATCTCTGATTTTATAAGTTTGAACTTCGAATTTTGAACTTCGAATATGTGAGGTTAAGTGAGAGTATCAGGTGGGCCCGCTTTTCCCAGTTTTTCTGTCCTAGATGGTGTAGACCATGGAAGTCAGTGCTGGTCACTTTGACCACTGAGCCAGATGAGCTGCTTGCTGCTGTGGTCACAGGGGCAGAAAGCCAACCTTACTAAGGCTTAAAATTATTATGTTAAATATGCTTTCCCATGAAGCCACATCCTACCCCCCCTCAGTGTCACTTTAATTACCTGTGTTTTTTAAACTGTGGGTTGTGATCCATTAATGGCATCAACATTTTAAGAAAGATTAGTCCCTCTAATGGTCAGAGTACAAAATACAAGTGTGTGTGGCATATAGTAAGAAGTGTTGCTTGGTGAAATTGTTTGGGTTGTGTGTGTGTGTTTGTGTCCCCTGGATGGCTGTGTAAAATCCCCTTCTGACTCGGAGTTATGGCCAAAAAAGTATGAAGAACACTGAACCTAATGATCACTAATGTCTCTCAAGCTCCAGCAGTCTGTGATTATTAAAGGGTTATTTGGAAGACCTTCGGCAACTTTTCTGCTCCTTCCTGTGCCTTCTTCTCTCATTTAGTCCCTGGGGGTGGACTGTGAGTGCTTATGAATCCATACAGGGCCAGGCCACCCGGACTTCTTGTCAGTTCCCAGTAACTGTATGGTCTGCATGGTACCAAGGGAAGGAGCATGGGGGGCCCGCAGCGCTTTCGCCAACCAGTAGCAATTTCCCCTTCCTTCCCAACTGGGGCTTTGCAGCAGGTTTTCCATGATTCTCTAGCTGGTGCTCCAGAGTGGCAAGTGGCGTGGTCACCTAGACCAGCATGTGGGGTGGCTGCGAGAAGCCCTGGTCGGGAGTGCTCAAGACCGTGGGGAGAATGCCAGGTGGGCGGAGGAGGAAATTCCAACCAGATTAGGCACACCATTCTAGACCACGCTGAATCCCGTGGTGGTGAAAGCGGGGGGCAAAAGGAAACAGGAAAGATTTGAAGAGAGGGAACTTCCGCTGACCCTTTCTCGGCCCTTCCCTTTGCTTCTCAGGGAAACGCTGCCTTTAACTGTGCCAGGTGAAGCCCTCCTTCCCAGCTGGGTGCCGTCCATGGAGAGGAGCCGGCAGCGAAGGGGTGAGGCTCAGCCTTCTCTTGAGGAGCTGGTGGGTGCTGAGCCAGTTGGAAAGCTCGGTTGGCCTCAGGGGTTTCTGTAGCTGACCTTGCTGAGCTTTGAGCCGCAGTGAGCCAGGCAGGTGCCAGGACGGCTCAGCATTCCTCACCTTCTGAGTTTGCTCCTCAGGGTCCCAGCCATGCAGGCTGGCTGGTAGGCAGGGTGCTCAGCGGGAGGGTGAGGGTGGCAGTCAGAGTCCCCTCCCACCCACTGCAGTGTTTTCAAAACCAAGTACAGTTCAGTAGCTGCCATTCAGCTTCAAAAGGGCGTGAAATCCCAAATTGCTCGAGTTCTTGCAAGAAAATTATAGTCATTTTTCTGTCTCTCTTCTCCTGTCTTGTCTCCTTCAGGTTCCTCCCCTCCCTTTTTTTCTGTCTTTAAGTGGGTGATGCTTTTCTAAAAGGTGCATTTGGAAGGGGTTTGGAGTCAAGAAAGGCGTACTCTGGAACTCGTGTCCTTTTCTTTGCTTCTTGCCTGCCGGTGCCATTGCCCGGATCTGCACCTGGCAGGCCTGCCACTGGAGGAGGGGGCAGACCTGACCCAGCCCCCTCCGCCCAGAAGTGGGGGAGGGGCAGTCTGGGCCAGGGCTTGAGGGGGCGCCCCTAAGATTCTAGTGGGCAGGGAAGGTGCCCTCACCTCTTCAGTAGGGAGAGGCAGTTGGGCCTGAATGGGAGATTTACCTGACTGTGTCTTTAAAGTGCCCAGGGGTGTGCACGTGTCACAGGGGAGAGGGCATTGCTCTGTGGAGTGTGTGTGTCCCGTATCTCTTCCTGGTTTTCTTTTGGGCATGTTTTAACTACCTTTGGCCATCTCATTCACGAGAGCTTTTGTCCCATCTGCTCTTCGGAGCAATGACCGACTGTAGTCCGCTCTCCCTATTTGATGGGCGTGGGTTTTTGACCCCCTTCCAACTTCAGGAGGGCTGCCTTTACCCAGCCCACTGGATGAACTAGCTTCTGTGTTGAATGAAGCCTTTGGCAGTCTCTCTTAAACCCCAGAACATTCTGGCTTTCTTCATATTTCTCCTAGTACCCAACATTTCCTTCTCAGAGAATTTTCCTTTTCTTTTTTTAATCCTCAGTGAGCCCTCCGGCCTCCTCAGTGCTGGCTGCAGACGCATCTCTACAGTCCTGCTGTTTGCGGGAGCTCTTTGGAGGGCATTGTGAGCCCTGAGCCTGCCCTTCCCCTCCCGGCCTCCACCTTGAATGTTCATGGCTGGCGTTTTCCATAGAGGGGATGTATCTAATCACTTTGTCTTTCGCTCTAGACCTCCCCTCAAGCTCTTTTGAGCCACGAGTCTCACCCTCAGAGAACTATCTTGGGGAGATTCAGATCCCTAGTCTTTGACTTACTGGTTGGGGCAGAGCCACTTCGCTTTTCTGAGTTGTAATTGCTTTGTCTGTAAAATGCAGATACTAATTTTCTCGCTGGTTTCTCTCTCCTGACCTAGCTTTCCATTGCTTTCTTCTTTCTTTATTTTTCATCACACCCCGCGGAAGTGCCTTAGAACAAGCTCCCTTATATCTGCACTGAATGTTCCTTCCCGTCTCCCCGTCCTGATAGAAATCCAGCTCTTCTCCCGAGGCCTGTCCTTCCCGGAAGCCTCTCAAGTGTAAGATTCCCGTCAGCTCGACCCCAGTCACCTCTGGGGCTCCTGCCGTCTCACCGTGACTGACCGGCCTCTTAGCCTCCCCTCTTCTTGGAGGCTCCGGTCCTTCCTCTTCTCTCTCTCTCTCTCTTTCATCTGCTCACCTCCGCCTCCAGCCTGACTTACGCTGAGAGGCAGGAGGCAGAGGCAGGAGGTGGAGTGGTGAGGAGCAGGGGCCTTTGAGCCAGACCACGTGGACTGGGTCCTGGCTCCGCTTAGTGTGACCTTGGGCAGGTCCCTCCTCCTGTCTTCTCTCTGTGCCCCATTTCCTGTCAGTGCAAAGGAGAGAGGGGCTGTGAGGC